AAAGACCTAGGTACATGCTATAAGTACATATAGTTGACTGAGGTTGATGCTAAGAATAAGGCAAAGCTTCCCCAAGTACTGTGAGCCAGAACAGAATGGCCTCCATGGCTCCATGCCCCAAGTACTCAGGATGCCTTTGCTGGGAGCCCTGGGGTAGTTAGGAAAGTTGATCTACACAGTGATGCTCTTGAAGGGCAGTAAAATGATATTCCCAGGACTAAGAGAAAAAAGCAAGCCTGAGTCTGTGTGGGAATGAGAGGAAGCTGATTGGGAATGAGTGTAAGTCATGGAATAGGATGGGGCCTTCAGGCCAGGCCCAGCACTTGAGATGGCATTTGTCTGCTCATGTGACTTCCTGGATATGGACAATAGGATGACCAATAGAAGAAAGAGCAGGGCAGCCTCTCACCAGTCTCATAATCTCCATCGAAGTAAGGGCATGGCAGGGGTCGGGGCAGGTACCTGCTTTGGGACATTTTGGATAGACTAGGGGTGGAAAGCTGAAGGACACTGTTTTTTTTTTTCTCCTGTAGGGCAGTGTGATCTTTGAGGGTGTGGCTGTGCATTTCTCCTGGAGGATTCTGGATGAGACATAGTCAATACCATGACATGGTGCTTGAGAACTCTGCCCTGACAGCCCACATTGCTTCTCCTGCTTCCTGGGCTAGGCTCTTCCTCTTTTTCCAAGAGTTACTATGGTTCCTGGGCTCATCCATAGGTCCTACTTCCTTTTTGGTTTACCAGCATAGGTGCTGTGGGTCATGGACTGCCTGAGCACCTGTCTTTATCATCGTGTAGCCCCTCAACCTAGGACTCAGAAGCCCGGCTGGGAATGATGCAGGAGAGCAGTCTTCCTACAAGCCAGAGATCCTTCCAGGCAAAGTTTCATCCTGGCAGGAACACAACCTGGAATTGTCCTGCCCCATGCTGCCAAGCCATTTCCATGAACATTTTTTCTTTTCCCTGGTTTCTAAAACCAAAAGCTATCCTCTTTCTCTCTCTCTCTCTCTCTCTTCAGTATGTCCTAGGTAAGCATTTGATTGTTGAGATGCACCCCCAACCCTTTAAGCTTCTTTGTAATGACTACTTTCCTGTCCTATGGTGTGAGGTATGTTGGTGTGAGGAAGGGTCACCTTGTGCTGTTGCATTTTCTTCTGAATATGACTTGTATATTCTAGGAATCATCTATTTGTCCAGCTGGATTGAAGGAACAAGCATGGGTGATTGACAAGGTAGATGTGACACTAGGGGACTAGTTCTTGCCAGGAAAGAGTCAGGGGTGGCTCCATGTCAGTGTTGAGTTGTGATTGGTACCAGGGACCTCCCCACTGTCCACCAGTGTGTTCTTTCGAAAGACAGGGGCCAAGGCTTAATCTATTCCTTCATTTCCCATTAGATATTTTTGTTGTCTTCCCCTTCCATCTCTGGCTTTTGACTTTTGTTTGATTTCTGACCCCAAAACAAGGGAATCAGTTGCATATTTTGCATTTCAAATTAAACTTGTTCTCCAGGTTCTCTCAGCATTTCTTCTTGGCATGTCTTGCCGCCAACCCTAAACTTTCCAGCTGTGCTGCCCTTCCCCAGAGGCTCCTCCATATATAACCCAGATCTTTTAGTCTCATCCTTCCTGCTTCTCTCTCTCTTCTCCTCCTTCTCTTCTCTTTCTGCACACACAAGACCCCTTTCTCTCTTTTCTCCTGATCCCTCTCCATGGTGACTTTCCTGGCCTCAGTCCATCGGTCTAGTGAACTTGCCTGAGAGTAACCTCCCAATAAACCTCCTTTTAATGTAGTCTAATGTGGCTTGAATTAATTGATTTCATTGGCAGAGAAATAAATTATCAGCTTGTGTTACTCAGAAGTCTCTGGCTCATTCCTTTCCATCACTCCCTCATTTGCAATGGCACCATTGCAAATAAAGCTACTCTGAGCATTGACCTGTGCCATCCTTCTGTCAATATGCCGGCATCAAAGGCCTACTTGTCTCATTTTTACAGGTGAGACTTTACCTTCTATACATGATGGCACAGGAAGGTCAACAACAAAAGAATATACTACTTATATGACCCAAAAGAAGGCAAACATGCCATGCCACACAGATCTGTGTGAGGCAGATCAGTGTTGATCAGGAGACAGAAAGACATGAGGATGCCTCACCTTTTGTTTGGGGATTCCATGGGCACAGCAAACTGTCCTAGGATTTCCTAGTTTGGATAATGCCAACAGATTTCAGACTCAGAACCATGCCTGGTCTTGAGATGGTGTTTTGGAAAAATACTAGGATGGATGTAACAAGTTGGAGATGGTCTGTTTGCTAAGTAGTCATTGGTTTACCTGTGAGATCTTTGTCCCTGGGGAGGTCATTTGGTCTTTCTAAGGACCAGCCAACATTCCTTAGGAAGCCTTAGGTGTTTTCATGTCACATCAGGAAACAGATGAAAGTCTCCATGCTTGCCAATCTTACACACCGAGCAATGTTTCCTGTTTGTATGACTTCCGGTCCCTCAGCTTGTCCACCAGCACTTGCTCTGTTCAACTTGTCTTCTCAATTTCTGCTACTATTATACAGAATAAGACTTGTGCTATTATGCTCTCTGTCCATTATAACTAATGGAGTTCATCATTTTTCTTAACATTGCTTGCCATTCCTCTCTCATTTAGCTGTGTGGCTGCTGTTTTGTGTGTGAGTGTTTGAGGGAGAGCAGGCATACACATACCACAGTGTGTGCATGGTCAGAGGACAATCCTCACCCATGGTTTAGGACAGGTCTCCGGCAGTCTGACTTTGTGGACTGCTGGGCTAACTGGTCTACAAACTTCTTGGAATTCACCTGTCTTCATCTCTCGACAGGAGCACTAGGACTACAGACACATGCTGCCAAGTCTGGCTTTACATGGATTCTGGGTGTTGAACTCAGGTCCCCAATAACACACAGGAGCACTCTACCCATTGAACCTTCTTTTTCCTTTCACTGGACATGAACTCCTAGCTCTGTCTGCATTAAAATGTTTGTTTCTTATTAAGTTTTGGGTTTCTTTTAAGGAATTATTGATTTCATGGATATGAGTACACTGTTGCTGTCTTCAGACACACAAGAAGAGAGCATCACTGTAGGAGTGATATTTAGAAAACTGTACCTGTTCTAACTTGTTCCTGGGAAACCACCATGTTCCTGCTGCTCCTCAGCTCCAACTAGGGCTTCAGCTAGCTGTATGAGCAGGCCCTGGCACCCAAGAGATGCCAGAGTGTTGTATGGCTCTGCCAATCCACCATGCTGCATCCACAAAGTTCAGTTGAATCCCTGTGGGAAAATCCGGGGTGGAAACCTGGTTGGGGGGTCCATCCTGGAAGGTCTCAATAACTCGAGAAGTCTGTGGGTTCCAAGGGCTGGAAGCATTGGAAACGACACACCCCAACGATGCAAGAAGTCCATGCATTCCAAGAGTTTTTATTGCCATGGTGTGGTAGTTGGATCTGGATGTGCACTCCCCAGTCTAAGCCAGGGCAGGCGTGACTTAAATAGGGAAGGGGAAAGAGGAGGGGCTGGGAAAAGGAATAACTAAATTTAGCTATGCCCCCTGGCCTTTAGGTAACTCATGAATATGGAAATCTCTTGAGGCTGAAGCTTGTAGTCATGACCTCTCTAGCCAAAAATGACTGCAAGCTGCAGATCAAATGGAGATCACGCCATGTGTCAGGAGCCTGGATTCTGTGAGGGCAGTGGAGTAGATGACCATCCCTCAGAGGCAATGGACACCTGTTGGGTCTCCAGGCTATTTCCAGCCAGGGCTTCGACCAAAACCAGCCATCCTATCATGGTCCTACAAATCCCAGACAATATCTGCCATCAGTACCCAGTAAAAAAGAGACTCTTAAAGCTTAATGGTTATCGAAAGGATTTATGTATTTAGAAATGCTCAATTAATAAGATGCCCATGCAATTAGAGTTGTTACCCAATATCTAATCTTTTGATAAAAGTTGCTACACAGGACAGCTTTCAACCCATTGGTGGATCTCCATGGAGGATAGCCTCATTCTTCTCATCAACTTCCTCTATTTTTCCCTCCCCTTCCATTTTCCTCCCCTACCCTTCCTCTCTTTCTATCCCAGCTCCATTCCTCTTCTACTGCCTAATCACCAAGCTCCACTGTGAATACAATGTAGCATAATAAATATCCTGCTTCACATCACAGATAGTTGTGAGACACCATGTGATTCTTGGGAATTGTACTCAAATCTGTTGGAAGAGCAGCCAACTCTTAACTGCTAAGCAATCTCTCCAGCCTATTGGTTTTGTTTTTGACACAGGGTGTCTCTACATAGACATGGCTGTCTTGGAACTTGCTAAAGCAACCAGAGTGTGCCAAATGTTGACTCTCACACGCAAACCAAGAGAATCTGAGAAGCACCCATGTGATCCCTGAGTTACTCCACGGTTATAACTGGACATAAGGAGCCCACAGTCTTGTGATAAAGCTTGGAGTCAACACATGAGTTGAGTGTCTGTTCACCTCCTTTGTTCTGCCAGCCTGGTGAAGCCTGTGGCTGCTTACATGCTATTTACCATCAGACAACCCCAGTCTCAACAGTATTATACAACTGAGTAAACTGAGCGCAGAGGCTCACACTTATAATGACAGCACTGGGGAGGAAGACATGGATCTATGTTAGTTCCAGGGCAGCCTGGGCTACAGAGCAACAAAAAAGAAGGGTACAGTGGCTCTCCCATTATCACATGACTAGTCAGTGGCACTCATCGTGGTCTATGTGACAACACAAGTCATTTCTCTCACTGTCTCCTGGATCCACTGAAGACCTCACAAGATCCCTGTTCAGCACAAAGACAGGGCACAGAACAGAGCTTCAAGCATTTATTAGACTGAAGGATGAGGGCACAGGTGTCAGGAATCCAACTTCAGGAGAGAAAGAGGACAGATCTACAAGATAGCACTTGGATTAGACAAGTTGCAAAGATGCATTGCCTAAAACCCATTAACTTCTAATACACCCAAATCTTGGACAACCCATTCTTAATTTTCATTGCAAGTTGGTCGCCATAGTATGTCTTGCATTCTGTGCTGAGGAGCAAGGATTTCTGGAAAACAAAAAGAGACAGGGACTTAGGTGGCTACAGACAAGGTGCAAGACCTCAGCAGGGCTTCCCAGGCACCCAGGATGAGATCATTCCTCATCCACAGGAAAGAAAATCTCCTGCAGTGATTCAGTATGCAGCAACAAAGTCTGCCTTAAGGAAACTTGAGCCCACCCCCAACCTTCAGGAGGAAGCCTGAAAGCTGCCATAGCCAGGGAGGGGAGAAGGGGAGAAGGCTCTGGGAGGCATGATGGGGACTTCATCTAGAGAGAGAGAAGATGATAGCTGAGTATGAGTTTTGGTGATGTCTCCTATACCTGAGGACATCTCTCTAGGCAGATTGGCTGAATGGTCACATTAAAAATACATTCCCCTGTGTCGGAGTGTTAGAAGAAATTTCTTTTTGGGTAGCACTGTGGTTTAGAAGGACCTGGCACTCAAACTAAAAGTATTTTGAGAACAGAACAGAGCTGCACCATTCAAAATATTCATCTCTGCAACCCAGATATGATTGAAACAAGAGATATCAGGAGACAGCTGAGGTGAACAGCTGCAGACACTCTTGGTGTGGGGTGGCATTTAAGACATTGAGGGAGGTTCTGGCTGTAGCTCAGAAGATGCCAGCAGAAGGGGAATCATCTGAGGCAGGGGAGTAGACTGAAGGGGGATTCTAAAAAGACACTGGGAAGTAGAACGAAGTTTCATGCATCTTAGTGTAGAGCTGGGGGTACCACACGTGTGCAGAAGTCAGACAATGAGTCCCCTGTTCCTACTATGAGTGAGAACCCAAGGTTTACCCAGCATGTGGGAGTTAATTGCAGGAACATGCATGGAACAGGCTGGATGTGTACCTGGAATGCTGCTTTGACATGTGCTGTGGTGGGCAAGGATTTGAGTTCTTGGTTGCTGGTCACCTACACATCTTAATAGTTGCATTGATCATTTGTACACAGCCTTCTACCATTTGCTGCATGGGTGAGTGGAGGTAGCAAGGACATTACCATAAATTTCGCATCTTGAAGTTTAGCTTTAAATCCTGCTTCCTTGTAGCAGTCCTGGATTTTTTGAAAGGCTGCCTTTTCCTCTTCAGTAGGTTCAAAAAAAGAAAGTTCCTTCTTCAACCACAAACTGCTTCCAGAGACAATCTTCGAATAGATACCAAAGAAAGGAACGCATGCTTCTGCTACAGACACAGACAGAAAAACATCCTTAACAGATCACAGGCTGGGAAATGGAGAGATGGCTCAGTGGTTAAGATCCAGAGATACTGACTTCAATTCCAAGTAACCACATTTTGTCTCAAACCATTTGAAAGTGGATCTGATCCAGTCTTCCAGTGTGTCTTAAGAGAGCCAGAACGTACTCATGTATGTAAAAATGAGTGGCTACATCACTGGGAAAAGAGATAAAGAAAGGGAGAGAGAGAGAGAGAGAGAGAGAGAGAGATCTGACAGACTCAGAGGCTCATGTTACCTTGCCTCAATCTACAAATGTCTTAACTGATCTTGCCCACAGTCCTGCCCTCCCAAAGGCTGCAGCCTCCCAGATGCAACATGGATTGCACAAGACACACGATTCTAGCAGGAAAAGATACACAAGTGGACAGGCCTCCATATCTGACCTTAATGAAATTCACACACTTGCCCTAGCTTCAACTGTGTATCTAAAGGCCCTTCGTCATGACCATCATCACCAGCACACCTATGTCTCCCTGTCAAACCCACCCAACTGTTGTCACCCTGAGCAGAAAGCATCAACATTCTTCTGTAGATCCTTGCCAGTGGCCTCCTGAGGACCCCTAGATCTATCTCAGGCCCCACTTAGAGATGTACATGAGACTGAGATGGGTTAATCAAGGGTCCTGGTCTCACCTGTCCGGAAGCCCAGCTCTCCAATCACCAGAAAGGCCAGTAGAAGAAGTGTCCCCTTCATAGTGGAGAGTGCTAAATGCTCTTCTCAGAGCAGATCCACTTCCTTATAAAACATTGTAGCCCTTTCCCCAGTCAAATCCACACCAACCCTGCCTCCCAGGAGCTCCAAATACCTTTGGCAAGAAAATAGCATCTCTGGATCACCTTCCCACTTGCATAGAGCCATGAGGATACAGGCCCCTCACAATCTTAAGAACAAATAGCCTGAGATAGCCTGATATCATCAGTTTTAGGAGAGAAGAAACTATTCTGTTTCTGTTTGTACCTTTGCCAAGAAGGGCTTAGAGCTGCCCTTTGTAAGCAGCCGAAGTACTGAGCCAAATGTCCTGTGGTCCTGTCCCTCTTGCCACCTCTATTTCCTGGTCACACTCCTCACCTCTCCTGGCTCCAATCCTCAAAGCTGCTGATGTTTTTGAATTGGAAGCTGAGGATATGAAGGCACCATCTCCCATTGATGACTCTCAGCCAGGGTAGACCCTGGCCATGTGGGCATCCTCGGGGGCTGGTGATGTTTTGTACCACAAATTCTGCTCCACTCCACAGTTGCTCATTCCTGTTGTCCTGCTCACCTTGTCCCCTCTTAGCTCTGTCAGTAAGCATGTCTCAAAGATATTTGAACAGCAGAGTCCATGTGGTGAGAGCAGTGAGCAGTAGACTGAGGGATTCACCACTGTACATAGAGACTCGGTTGTCCACCACCTATATGCTAATGTTGACTGCCTGGCTGTAAACTATACTGCTCCACAGGCCACAGGCAGTGCTGTGTGTAGACAGTCTCAACTTCAGACCAACCTACTTACCCTAAGGAAGACATTTTAGCACAAAGGAGATTGTCAGTTGTACTACCCGTTTATTGAGTCAGAGAGCTCTTAAATGCAAGCTCACCCAGATCGCAGCGTGTGATGGTTAATCTTGATGATCATTTTGACTGAGTTGAGAGTTGCAATGGAAACAAAGCTCTGAGTGAGAGTTTTTAGGCTAGGTCAATTGATGTGGGTAGATTGACTTTCATGTGGCAGTGTGGACTATGAACATAGATGGAGTGGAAAGGGGACAACAAACTGAGCAGAACCATTCATGCCTCTCTGCTTCCTGACTGTAGCTGTGACCATCCACCTCCAGTGTCTGCACTGTGCCTACCTCACTGTGATGGACTGTGTCTCTTCAAACTGTGAGCAGAAACTGTGCTTCTCACCTGGCATTTGTCATTAGTTCCCTACAACAGTGGTAGAGTATTGTTTATAGCATGTACGAAGCCCTGGGGTTATTTCACAGCACCACACACATAAATAGGGTCATCCAATGAGATGGATAAGTGTGACGCGCCGCCTCGCCGAAAAGGAGAACACGCCACACTTCAGGATTCTTCTGACAGCAATTTACTGGTTACAGCAATTTCAGATGATGTTACAGCTCTTAGATGGTGTTACAGCTCTTAGATGGTGTTACAGCTCTTAGATGGTGTTACAGCTCTTGTAGATGGTAGTGGCGAAGGACCCAGAACCCCAGAACCCATGGGCTTATATAGAGTCCTGGGAGCACTTACTGCATGCTCATTGGCTCCTTAATGATGCCTAATTAGCATACTAGTTTCTCATTGGCTCTTAGAGTGTTCTTGGAGTGAGGCTTAATTAGCATAGTAATTTTTACTCTTTGCGCATGCGCATACTCGGCTTGGCTCTGACTGAAGCCAGAGCGCGGGAAGCCGGCGTGCCCTGCGCATGCGCGCTCCCATTCATGGCTCTGTCAGAGCCGAGAAGCAGGGAGCCGGCGCGCCTTACTCAGGCGCACTTTACCTCACGGCTCCCTGACTGAGCTGTGCCATTGAGTGCGGCTCCCTCACGGAGCCCCGCCATTGACAGTTGGCGTATGCGGCTCCCACACGGAGCCGCGCCATTGTCGAATGGCGTACGCGGCTCCCAACAGATAAGTATGCAAAGCGCTTGTTATGCAAGCATAAAGGCCTGGGTTCAGATCCTGAGGACCCGTGAGAGTGGTGGCATGTTCCTCTAATCCCATATGAGCTTCAGTTTCAATAACAGATCTTGTCTGAACAGTAAGGTGGGAGGCTGTTGAGACAGCTCAGTGATTAAAGGTGGAGACCTGAGTTTAAATTCTGAACCCACCTCGTAGTAGAAGAGAGCTGACTCTTCAAAATTGTCATCTGCATACACACACACACACACACACACACACACACACACACAGAGAGAGAGAGAGAGAGAGAGAGAGAGAGAGAGAGAGAGAGAGAGAGAGAGATATCTTGGCTCCTCTGCCCCCACGCATGCACACACACATAAACACATGAACACAGAACACACACTTATATAAATGTCTATGGAAACTGCCATGAGGAAGCCCAAACAAGCTCCTAATGGACAAATGTCAAACAATTTGAGCAACAAACTAAATAACATAATATTGGAATGTATTATAATTGTGAAATCACCTATAAACCCACGCTGGCATGAATGGTTGCATGGGAGATAAATGAATATGGATAAATGCCAGTATTGTTACATCTCACAGAAAAATTCCTGAGAATCCGTAGATATTCCTCCTGGGAGTTGACCTCCCTTCAGTCCTTCAGTGTGAGCTACAGGTTCTCAAGAAAGAAGCATGATGGGCTTGGGGGACAGGCCAGTCAGTGAATCACTTGCTGAGTGTGCTCACTTGAGTCCATGAGTTTTAGCCCTCAGAACCTGTGAGAACATCCATGTACAAAGTGCCCCCTGGTAATTTCAGCACCAGAGAGTGTATTCCTGGGCTGACTGGCCAGCCCATCTAGCCAAATTAGCAAGCCCCATGGTCAGAAAGAGGCCCTATTTCAAAATTATAAGGTGGTCTCGGCTGTAAAGAGGACACAGATTCTCTTCCAGCAACCACAGGGCAGCTAACACCCATCTGTAACTCCATTTCCAGAGGATCCAGTGCTCTCCTGTGACCTCCACAGGGAAAGCAAACATGACTGCATAAGACACTCATGCAGGCACAATCTACATACACATAAAATAAGACTAAATAAAATAAAATGTCAAATAACCACATACATATGCATGTATACACACATGTGCAAACATACACACACACACACACACTTACAAACATATATAATGTCTATGTGCTCATGTTTATATGTAAGAGTACAACTGAAGACACGTCACTATCTTTCCCTGGCCATCTTGTGCATATACATATGTTTGTCATGTGTGTTAGTTAAGACGACTGTTGCTGTGATAAGACACCATGACTTAATACAGTAGTGTGGGGTCACCCAGCAGTAGGCACTTGCTTAGCCACACTATGCCCTTGTCTCCATTCCCAACCCTGTACAGAAGAGAAAAGTCCCCAGTGGGCACATTCTACAGGCCTCCACAGTCCTCGACATGCAAAGTCAAACAAACAGAGACCAGTGGACTCAGAAGAGAGTTCACAATTAGATCTTAGAACTTGGCACTTAATTGCCCAAACAGTTACTGGATGTAAATCCTGTTTGGCTCAGCTAGTCTGTAAAAGTCAAAGGCTTAAGCTGCCCTAAGTCTTCAGCAAACTTCACTGTGTCACCAGCTGATGTAGTGTAAGTGGTAGCCAAGTGTGCTTTACAACAAACTTCTTTATCTGACTTATCAAAACACTTTCAATCTTTACTTTTAAAATTAACTGCCAGCCAAATTACATAAACACATAGACTTATATAACATAGACGTGGGGATGGGGAGGTTTTATGTGGGAAGATAGTGTTGAATGATTTAAGAAGGGTCTTGTTTATAGACTTGAGAGGAGTTAGACTGCCCTTTAGAGATTCTAATCAGCATTTGTGAAGACCTTCTATGACTCTGAGAGAGAGAAAGGCCCTGCTTTCCTGAGCCTTTAGACATCTAAAGAACACCAAAATGCAGCCGATGCAGGAGGAGCTAGGGGAGAGGAAGCAGGGTTTAGAGTCTTCCCTATGGTGGAGGTCAGATGTGTTCTTAGACACTAGGGATCCATGTGCTCTGCAGGGTTTTAATCTGTGTTGAGTTTCTATGACAAAAGACCCAAGACCATGTAGTGCATATGGAAACAAGTTAATTTCCATCATGGTCTGGAATCTTGAAAGCCCAAGATAGAGCAACCTTAGGTTGCAATGACCTTGTTTTGTCTGAACACAAAGTGCACAGCAGAAGGGCAACAGCAGATTGTTGAATACAGAGAGCAGAGGCTCCACTCTGCTTTTCAAGCACCCACCATACACTGCTCAGGCCTGCCTCATCGGGAACCAAGGCTCAATGTGGGTATTTGGTGCGTGTCCCTCTGATATATTGGTTTTAGTCTGGGGATTTAGGTGACAAATCTCCCAGGTGAAGGAAAAGCATTTCAGGCAGTGAGGGCAGAGCATATGAAGGCTCTTGTTCTAGCCTGGCACATCTTCATAGAAAAATGGTGTCCTACTTCATACAGAGACACTGCAATGACAAACATACTAGGTAAATGGTAAATTCCATTGGGGGGGCAGCGAATGTTTATTGATGGTATTTAAGAGAGTAAGAAGGGCTCCCTACTCCCCCCATGTTGTTATGGGGGTCTGGGATGGAAATTGTCAGGGAGATGTTCGGTGTTGGAGACAGGGACTCCTCAGCAACCGATGACCTCTCTCTTGCTCTTGGTGTCCTTGCTGGTATGAGTGGTCCAGGGTTTCTTTCTCCTTGGAGGTCATGTGGGCCATCAAGTCCATGACCCTGTTCCTGTAGCTGTATTCATTGTCATACCAGGAAATGAGCTTTAGAAAATTGTCACTGAGAGCAATTCCAGCCCCAGCAACAAAGGTGAAAGAGTGAGAGTTGTTGTTGAAATTGCAGGAGACAACCTGGTCTTCAGTGTAGCCCAGGATGCCCTTCAGTGGGCCCTCAGATGCCTGCTTCACTACCTTCTTGATGTCATCATACTAGGAAGGTTTCCACAGGCTGCAAGTCAGATCCACAATAGATATATTGGTGGTAGGAACATGGAAGGCCGTGCCAG